AGCATTTACCTTGTTTTTGGTATTGAGGTTGAAATACCTCCAAGTGTTCTACCACTGAGCTACATCCACTGCCCTTTTCACTTTGAAACAATCTAGCTAAATAGTTCAGGTGGGTCTTGAACCTGAGTCTCCTGGCTCAAGTGCCACTGCACTACTTATGCAGAAAAACAAGCAATCTGAAGCCCATATCCCAATCAGTTTTTTCTTTTCTCTTTTTCCAGTACTGGGGATTAAACCCAGAAGTCCTGAGCTACATTTCTATCCCTTTTTTAGTTTTTATTTTGAGGTAGTCTTGCTAATTTGCTCAGGGTGGCCTCAAACTTGTGATCCTCCTGATTCAGCCTCCCAAGTAGTTAGAATTGCAGGCACTCACCAGGCCCTTCACACTCACCTATATCCCTTTTATTTTTTTGAGACAGGATCTCAACTGTTGCCCAGGTTGAGCTGACTTGTGATACTCCTGCCTCAGCCTCCCAGAGTGCTGGAATTTCAGCTCTGCTGACTTGTACTTAGCAGTTTGTATTTTCTACATGAGATGACTTCAGACAGCATTTTTTGTGTATGCTAGACATTTAACCCAGGGCCTCAGCTGCAATGAGCACACGCTCAACCACAGAGCCACATCTACTCCCAGCTGTAATTTTTTTTTGCAGTGCTGGGGATGGAAACCAGGGCCTCACACATGCTGGGCAAGTGTTCCCACTGAGCTACACCCTCAGCCCCCAGCATCATTTCTATTTTTTTTTTGTACCGAGGATTGAATTCAGGAACTTGTGCTTGTGAGGCAGGTGGTGGCACCACTGAGCTAAATCCCCGGCCCTCCTCAGCATCATTTCTAATCCCTAACTAGAATTACAGCAGTAATGTAGCTCAGTGCAAAGGCCCTGGGGTTCAATCCCCAGTACTGAAAAACAAAGTTAAGCCTTCATGACTCTAAGAAATTTATGTGGATCAACTCTTTATTATCTCTAGTATTTATTTTATTTTTGGAGACAGGTTCTCGCTATGCAGTCCAGATGGCCTTGAACTCAGTGATCCTCCTGCTCAGCAGGTGTGTGCCACTATGCATGCCACCAGAGGAGTACTGTATTTCTGTCTTTGTTGTTTTGTGGTACTGGGGACCAAACCTGGGCCTTCAAGCTCACTAGGAAAGGGCTCTACCACGGAGCCATGTCCCAGACTTAGGTTGCGGAGCAGGTGGTCATGTCCACAAGGAGTTAAACAGAGAAGTGACCATGTCAAGACTCTGGGAGCAAGGCAGCAAGCCCATGGAGAGCCGAGTAAACTGAGGAAGCAATAAAGAGGGAGCCGGGTGGCAGTGGTGTCAAGCTACACCCAGACAGGGAGGGCTTGACATCCAAATGGTTTTCCAGTCCATAAATAGTCAAAAAGTGCTGCAAGTTGGGTGTCGGGGTGCACATCTGTAATCCCAGCACTCTGGAGGCTGAGACAGGAGGATCAAAGCCAGCAACTTGGAGAGATGTCTCTAAGTAAATGAAAAGGGCTGGCAATGTAGCTCAGTGTGAAGGTCCTGGGCTTTGGGAGTGGAAAGTGCAGTAAATCTTCCTGCTTTTCTCTGAATGCTTTCACTTGCCTAAATTCTTTTGGAAGAAGTGTCGTGTGGAAACAGCAGTGCGGTTTGCCCTGTCCCCAAGCAGGTGACTCAGTCCTCTGGGTGTCACACTCACTCCATGCTTCCTCGGTGCCAGTGAGGCCAGGGCTGAACCCCTCCTCTTCTGGTCCCTTGGCTCTGCGACTACTCCCAGGGCTGGGGTTGGGGGCTGCACAGCTTAGCACCTTCGGGATCGCATCTTTCCTGAGGGGCTCGTATTTAGACACAGACTTTCCAGCTCTCACATGCGAAGCTTAGGTGGCTTTCAGATGATCAAACAGCAGGGATGCCAGAGTACGACTGAAATGCAGCCTTTTCTCTTTCAAATCAGAATTAGAGACAGGGTCTCACTATGTAGCCCAGGCTGGCCTCAAACTCCCAGCAATCCTCCTGCTTCAGCCTCCCAAGTGCAGGGATGTCAGGTGTGTGCCAACACGCACAACTTTACACTTGTTAGTGAGATTAGCTATCTTCCCAAATAAGACCATGACCAGGAACTACTGGTTTAGCACAAGATACATATTAAATGGGTCCCAGGCCATGCATGTATAACACACAGGCATTCAATATTCCTAGCACTCAATATACGTGAACAACTCAGGACTCCAAAAGCTCTGAGGAAAGTACAGCTATCAGCCCCCTGCACATTTTAGGAAGGTAGGTCATGCACACCCAGGACAGGACGGGAGAGCCACGGAGTGAGCTCAGGCAGTCCCTTCCTGGTGTCCGCAGTCAACACCCAAGCTCCGGTGCCGCACACTCTGAGAACACAGTGGTCAGGTAGGAATGTTCTTTTCTTTTTTGGTACCAGGGATCAAACTCGGGACCTTGCGCTTTTGAGGCAGGGGGTAGAACCACACTGAGCTAAATCCCTGGCCCCAGGAATGTTCTTGATAGGACGTAACCTGCCGTCAGTAACCTGAGGTCAACAGAGAAATCATAAGGGTCTGATGGTTTTTTTTGGATTTGATGTTTGAGTGGAACTTTGCTGCCCAACTTTAATCTTCCTGGCCTTTCATTTCAGCTACTTTAAAAACCTGTTTGCACTGGGTATTTTGCTCAGTGGTTCCAACAACTGCCTCACAAGCGCAAGGTCCAAAAAAAAAAAACCTGTTTGCAGCTGGGTGTGGTGGCACACGTGTCTGTAATTCCAGCACTCTGGGTGGCTGAGGCAAGAGGATTGCAAGTTCAAGTCCAGCCTGGGCAACTTAGAGAGCCTGTCTCAAAATTTAAAAAGGGTTACAGCTCAGGGCTAGTGCTTGCCTAGCACGTGCCAGGCCCTGAATATGAATCCCAATACCTGAGAAAACAAAATCCATTTGCCATCATCAGTATGATCCTGAGCAATGACAAGGCGGAGGAGGTGGCCCAGGATGCACCCGGATCAGCACTAAGTGTCGGTGATGCACACAAGGACACATCAAGGGTCTGCACTCAGGCCCTCTCCTAATCTTCACTGGTTTCTGACAGTTACATACACGGGGCAGCTCCCCTGCAGTTAGCAGAGCAGAAAGCTTGGAGTAGGGAACTGTTAAGACTCGGGAAACTGACTAATCACAGACAGTGTGAGGAATGGTCTCTACCCATGTAGCGGCACACTGCAAGGAGTTATCTCTAGTGGGGAAAGAGCATGCCTTCCTCGTTTAAGAATCAAAGGTAGCAGGTAGCCGGCCAAGCCTTTCGTAATTCTGGAGTTCCCCGCCTTTAGCAAAGTCGGGTTTCCTGCCAGGCTTTCCCAGAGTGGCTAGCGCTAGGTGATTATTTCACAAGCTCAGCTATCCAGGAAGGGGCTCCAAACCAGCTGCTCCCATTTAGTCCATGAACAATGGGGTAAACGCGTTCACAGTTCAGTAAATTCTTTACCTGGAGCCCATGTACCTGCTTCTGGGGAAGTCAAATAACTGTAGGCACAATCTTCTTTATAGGCATTAAGTGGCTTTTGCTGGGCGTGGTGGTGCCTAATCCCAGCACGTGGGAGGCTGAGGGTGCAGGATCGCTGCCAAGCCCAAGGCCAGCCTGGGCTACACAGTGAGTTCAAGGCCAGCTTGCACTACATGGTGAGACCCTGTCTCAAAAAATAATAAACAAAAGAATGAATAAATAAAAAGGCTTTCATGAGTTCTTCCGGAGCTAAGGACTAAAAAGGCCATTAACCACGATCCTTTTTGTTTGTACACATTTTTTTCTGGTTCAAGATTGTGGCTTATAGGAAGGCCTGGCAGGGTAGGGATGAAACATTTCTACTGAGTACCTGATAACTATGGACCGGGTCTAAGCCTACTCTGTTGTAACAACGAGAGTCTCAAACCCTACCCACAGGCCGTGGAGACTACTGGAAGGGGAAGCTGGGTGGAGGGCCAAGGGCATCCGGGGCACGGAGCCCAGGCCTGACCAAGTCACTAACCGGCTGTGTGACCTTGGATCAGTTCCATACCCTCTCTGGGCGTCAGAGTTCCCACCGCACACTGTAAGTCGAATCACGTGGCCTTCAAGGTCCTTCCAGCCGAAGGCCTGTTACCAAGGCGACCTCGCCATTCAGTCGCTTCCGGTGGGCGCGGCCCCAGATTTTAACGGTCCCTTCCCGCGCAGGCCCGCGAAACTTCGCTCCGCACGCCCGCAGTGACGCTGCCGTCCGGACTGCAGCCGGCGCTCAGCTCCGCCCTTTCCCGGGGGCGTCCCGGCGTGCCCCGCGCCAGACTCCGAAAGCGGCGGGGCGTCTTCTGCCTTTGCACGCCCCGACCCCGACCGAACTCCTCTCCTCAGTCCTCCCCGGCGCCCTGACCTATCAACGTCCAGGACCCCAGCCAATCACGAGAGCTCTGAGCTTTACCTCCGGCCCACCACCCTCCTCGCGCTCAGCCCGTCTGAGCCCAAGACCCTTGCCAGGCTCACCCAATCAGCGGCCGGCTCTCACCTGCCCCACCCCAACGTCCCTCCCTTCGGCCAATCTGCGCGCCCCATTCCTCTGCCCTAGCCAACCCGGGTCCTTGAAACCCGCGGGCGAATGGGCACAGGGCGCCCCTTCAACGCCGGCCGACTGGCCAATTGGGGATTCCGTGTGGCCACGGCGGAAACCAATTGCTGTGGAGCGCGGTGCTGCCGGGGAGAGGTCCGGACCGAATATCCCTCCGCCTTCCTCCCGCCCTCTCTCCCTCCCCGCGAGGCGCCGCTCACTTACTGCCTCCCTTCTTTCTCCCTCCGCCGCCCGAGCACCAGCCGCGCTCCTAGCTGCCCCCGGGGTCCCTCCCCCGCCGCCAGAGAGCAACCGCCGCGCCGCCAGCAGCACCTTAGGGTGGAAGGCAGGGAAGAAGGGAGGAAAGGAGCCCGAGCGCCCGCCCGGAGGGAGCCGGTGAATGGGCTTGTGGTGACCCCCGCCCCCCACCCCACCCTCCCTTCCCACCCGACCCCCAACCCCCATCCCCAGTTGGAGCCGCCGCCCGAGAGAGGCCGGGCCGCTGTCTTGGGAGGAGTCGCGTCGCCACCTCCGCCATGGAGCTGATCACCATCCTCGAGAAGACCGTGTCTCCGGGTAGGACGCGGGGGCCGGGGGTCGGGCTGAGGTGACCGCGGTGGGGGAGGGGGCCGCCCCTCTGACCCCGCTCCCGGCCGCTTTTCTCCCCCAGATCGGTTGGAGCTGGAAGCGGCGCAGAAGTTCCTGGAGCGCGCGGCCGTGGAGAACCTGGTGCGTGCGCCCCGCCGCGCCCCATCCCTTGCGTGCGGCCCTTCCCGCCCTCCCGGAGGCCCAGGCCTCGGAACCCACCCCGCCCCATCCCGTCCCCCTCCCCCCTGCCCGGTCCAACCTAACCCCGCCGTCGGGAAGCCGGTGGGTGTGTCCCGCCCCGGGCCGCGCGGCTGGCCAATGGCGCGGCGCAGCGGGTGAGTGCCGCCCAATCGGCGCGCGGCCTGCGGGCGGCGGTGCGGCGGGAGGGAGGGAGGGGAGGGAAGTTAGGTTGCACCGCGCTGCGTGTTCAGCAAGGGTGGGGGCGGGGGAGCAGGGCCTAGGGGCCATGTGGGAGCTCTGGCCCGGCTTCCCGCGCGGTGTGGCCGGGGCCGACTTCTCCTTCCTGCCCTGGGGCCTCGGCGGCTCTCTGCACCGACTTCCCAGAGCTCTGGCTCTCATCTGTGCTCATGGCCAGGCCTGGCACCTGATCGCCTCTGAACCCATTTCCACTGCTGTTTTTTCCCCTTTCGTGGCCGCTCAGTCCTCTCCCGGGAGAGAGGGCTGTGCATAGATTTGGACTTAGGTAGAGACCAGATAAGGGGAGATCTGCACCCAGACCGAACACTGAAGCTTAACCTTAATAAATTACGATCGGGCCTATTTCCTGATGAAATCGCACACGAAAGCTCCTCAGTTTTCCTATCTTCAAATTTAAGGAGTCCAGAAAAAAGGAAGATAGTCCCCTCAAGACTGGACCTTAGCGTCCAGTACAAATGTAGGCTGGTCTGGTTGAAACAGCGTGGTGCTGTTGGTCCCAGCTGTGTGTCCCTTTGGTGTCCCTCTCGTTGGGGGGATGGGGAGCAAGGAGAAGGGTGGAGGATGTATGCTTGAGGTCTTTTAAAGGTAATAGCCCTGAATAACATTGTAATCAAATGTGCTCTTTTGTGATATCTTGGCTAGAGAACAACAAAGTGACAGGGCTTGTTTTATGCAAATTGCCTTTGAATGATTTGTGTGTGATAGTTTTTACTAACCTTTTTCATTCTTAATTCTCTCCAGAAAATATTTTCCTACTAAGAGATAGACTAATAGTTCCATTTCTGCTTCTGCTTTTGCTAATTGGCAAGAAATGTTATGTTAGGATTTCTAACATTTCTTAGGGATACACAATACAACTTGGGAATTACCTTCAAGAAAATGCTTCTGGTTTCTTTGGTTTACTTTCTTTAGACAGTGCATTTTTTGTGGAGGAAAAGAAACATGAGCTAACATTTTTTGACAGAAGGAGAAGCCTTTGAGACCTGTGTGTTAGAAACCTTGAGCGTGCTTTTCGGGGATCCACCATTATTTAGTGGACAGCTCAAAAAAAGAGGCTTTAGTGCATTAGCTGTTGGTTATTAAATACAAAATCATTTTCTTGGCGCAACTAGCCTTTCGGTTTTTTTTCTTTTTAGTTTTCTCTATTTGTAAATATTTTGTTTTCTGTGTAAATCTACTTTTTTTGTTCCCCGTTCTTCTAAAATGTGGAAGGAAGACTAGGGTTTCTGAGTCTGAGGCTAACCTATAAGTGTTTCTCATTTGTGAAACCTGCTTTCATGGGGTCAAAAGCAACCTTGAATATCATTGTAATAAATTTTTTTTTAATTTAAAAGTTTTTGCTTTTTCTCCTGTTGTATTTATTCATTCATTCAACAAATACTGAGTGCCAGACATTGTTCTAGGTACGTGGGACACTCCACTGTACGTGAAAGACACTTCACTGGCTACCAGGATGTCAAATTTGCTTTTATTCCAGGAATCTGATTGGAAGTTTTGGGCACTAAGGGTGATCTTGATAGTAAGATAGGCACAAGCCACCAAGCCCAGTGTCAAGTACTTTCTAAAAGTACTTGTGTGATACGTTCTAAAAAGTTTCTCCCCCCCAGTGATCGAGTACTCTAAAAGGTATCTTTGGTTGTTCAAATTCCCAAGAAGTCTTTTGCTCACAAGTGAACCTTCTCTTTAACAGCCCACTTTTCTTGTGGAACTGTCCAGAGTGCTGGCAAATCCAGGAAACAGTCAGGTTGCCAGAGTTGCAGCTGGTCTACAAATCAAGAACTCTTTGACATCGAAAGATCCAGATATCAAGGCACAGTATCAGCAGAGGTGGCTTGCCATCGATGCTAATGCTCGACGGGAAGTCAAGAACTATGTGAGTAACTTCCCTCTTGTAGTCATACTGCCTGGGAACAAGAAACATCTTTGCAAACTATTTCTGTCCTTTGCATGGGATGGAGCTTGGTAGTGATAGATTTCTAGGATCTTTTTTTTTTGGTACCGGGGATCAAACTCGGGTCCTTGCGCTTGTGCAGCAGGCAGCGAAACCACTGAGCTAAATCCCCGGCCCGATTTCTAGGATCTAAACTTCACCTGAAGATAAAAATTGTATTTGATTTAAATCTTTCTCCAATCAGCTTGTCCATGTACAGATTAGAGTTCTTTAATAGGTGACTGAAGCAGCCACTGCAGTTTGGGAAGCTTTATTAGATATTTTGATGAATTGGAATGGTATACCAATTAGTTCTGTATGTTATTTTTCTGAGGCTGGGGCTTTAGCTCAGTGGTAGAACACTTGCCTAGCATGTGCAAAACCCTGGGTTAGATCCTCAGCCACTCAAAAAAGTGTGTGTGTGTGTGTGTGTGTGTGCGCATGTGTGTATCTGTGTGTTTCTAAGTTCTCCAGAAGTTCTGGTTTGGAGCTGTAGAATGGAGTTCGGGGATATTTTTTAAACTGTCCTTGCAATGTGATTTTTTCACCATCAACCAGCACCTGGCTTTTGTTGAACTTTTGCTGCACATAATTCTCATTCTTTGGTGTCATGCATGGCACTGTGCAGCATCAGGAGAATTAAATGATGTCTTTCATCCTGCAAGGGCAAGGAACTGGAGTACTAGCTTTATGACATTAATGGTGCTTTTTACTTAACAAATTATAGAAAACTATTCTTTAAAAATCCTTTTTCTGCATGGTGTTGGATGAATGAGATGATGAATTTTGGGAATAATGGAATGTCCATTGCTGTGCATCATGGCGTTCTTGTGACTTATTGGATTAAAAATCGATAATTCCAGCTAAAGCAAAGGATTCAAGAGTAAATAAATATATATGGACAAGTTCACTTTTGTTCTTAGTGAGCCTTCTTACGGGGATAAGACCCAAAGAGAAGTTAAAATCTGTGCGGTTGTCGTTTTGACAAGTTTGTGGGTTGTTTTTTGGGGTACTGGGGATTAAGCTCAGAACACTGGCACTGAACTACATCCTCACTCCTTTTCTTATTTTGAGACAGGGTCTCACAATGTCCCTGAGTTGTCGAGGCTGGGTTCAAATTTGGCATCCTTTTGCCTCAGCCTCCCAGATTGCTGGGATTACAGGCATGTGCTACCCAGCTCTGCTCTGCTCCTCCTCGGTATCTGAGGGGAAATCAGTGGGTGAGTCCTGCATTTGTACTTGGGCAGGTCATGGTCATGCACATCGTATTTGCTGTTTCCTGCAGATGCGAGTGTTAGGTAAATTAGTGCTCCTTAAGGCAACAACTTCTCTTTCTCCCTCTCTTCTCCAGTCGTGCTTGAAGGCACCTATGACAGGAAGCTAATTTAGCAGCCACTTTTATTTTGAATAGTTTTTAGAGTGTAAAGCAGTTTCTATTGCACATTATGTCTGCCTGTGATATTTTTGTTGGTTTTTTTTTGGTACCGGGGATCGAACTTGGGTCCTTGTGCTTGCAAGGCAGGCGGCGAAAGCACTGAGCTAAATCCCTGGCCCTTGTGATTTTTTTTTTGGTGATGTTGTTTGGGATGGAACCCTGGACTTTCACACCTCCCTGCCTTTTTTATTTTTTATTTTGAGACAAGGTCTCTAAGTCATTAAGTTGTCCAGACTGGGCTGGAAATTTTAGTCCTTCTGCCTCAGCCTCCCAGACTTGTGATGAGATTTTAAGGCTCCCTCCCCCACAGATATTTGATATAAATGAAGTATATCCCATCATTGAAGATCTTTTTTTCCCTTTTCTTTTTCCTTTGAATCGAGGGTCTGCCTGTGTTGCCCAGGCTGGCCTTGAACTCCTAGGCTCAAGTCATTCACCCAGGCATGTGCCACTGCCTAGTTCATCACTGGAAATCTTTTTTGGGGGAAGGGAGAGTGCCAGAGATTGAAGACAGTCTATTTTTAATTTTTTTTTTTTTTTTTTTGTACCAGAGATCGAACTCGGGTCCTTGCACTTGCAAGGCAAGCAGCGGAACCACTGAGCTAAATCCCCGGGCCCATTTTTAATTTTGAGACAGGGTCATGCTAAGTTGCCCAGGCTGGGCTTGAATTTGTGATTCTCCTGCCTTAGCCTCTCAGAATGTTGGGATTTCAGGTGTACCCTGGCTTATCACTGGAAATCTTGATGCTCTTAATGCCCATTCAATATCTCATCTCCCTCAAATTATGCAGTACTTTAGTAAATGCAGTAAGACATGATTTGAACTATGCTTGTATGTTTTGGCACATTGCTTTTTTAACACCAAACTTTTAAAAAATTGTATATTGGCATGGTTGAGCCCCTTTGCCTGAAAAAAGTTAGAATGAGCCAGATGCAGTGTTGTGTTCCTGAAATTCCAGCTACTAGGGAACCTGAGGCAGGGAGATGGCTTGAGACCAGCCTAGGCAGTGAAGCACAACCTTTTATAGTAGATCTGGTAGCTGATGTTGTCTCTCAGTGCTCCTGGTCTTTTGCGGGTATTTTGAGTTAGAGTATCACTGTGTAGCCCAAGCTGGCTTAAGCACACTGTAATCCTCCTGCCTCAGGCTCTTGAGTGTTGGGATTGCAGGTGTGCACTACCATGCTTGGCGTTTTCTTTTCTTTTTTTTTAATTGGGATATTGAAAAAAATTTAGTTCTTGTTCTCTCTGTCTCTCTCCCTCTCTGGAATATGAGTCTCTGTTCCTTACACTGTTCTCAGGCAGTTCTCCTCCCTCAGCCATCCAAATAGCTGGAACTAGAGTGTGTGCCACTGTGCCCGGCTCATTCCTTTTATTTCTGATTTTGAATATTAGTGTGTCATCACTGCTAGTTAAGAATTATTTTTTCAGTGCTCAAAAGTTGAACATCTAAGGCCGGGGATTTAGCTCAGTGGTTCCACTGCCTGCCTTGAAAGCGCAAGGACCCGAGTTCGATCCCCATACCTCCAAAAAAAGTTGAACATTGGTTTGGTGTGTGTTTTGTTTTCTTCCCCTTTCTTTGTGCTTTATTTGGAGACAGTCTCACTAAGTTCCCCAGGCTTGGCCCGAGTTTGCTGTAATCTCAGATTGCTGACCATTACAAGCATGTGCCACCTTGCCGGGCTCCCAGCCCTTTTTCATTTTGAGATGGGATCTTGGCTAAGTTAGCCAGGCTTGAGCTTGCAAATCTCCTGCCTCAGCCTCCCAGATTGCTGAGATTACAGGGCACCACCGTGCTTGGCTTCACCTGAAGTCAAGCCAAACAATATTAACTGAGAATCTTCCACTGCACTTTAAATTTTAAAGCAAAGGTGAGCAGCATGCAGCTCTATTAGGAGACAGTGCAGACTGAGGCACCCTGCAGGGAGGAGGGAGGGTGCCTAGAGGGTTCGCAGTGGACATTAAGCCATTGGTGGACGGGAGAGATAGGTTCTGGGGTGCTGTCGCAATCGGGGCTGTGGATGGTGGTAACGTGGCATAACCGTCAAAAGCTGGCAAACAGGATTAGGATGTCTGCACTGCAAGGAAACGATACAGATAGCTTTGCGCTGTTTGACCTTTACACAAGGTGTGCATGTAGCAGAACATCACCTCAGATCTGTAATTTTTGTCATTTAACATTTTTTAAATTCAAGCTGCACCCCCCCCCCAGCACCTTTAGACTTGAACTTGGGCGGTTGGATACCCATTCAGCCACCAACACTTGGACAGCTTACCTCGTTCCCCCTCACTTCACCTGATCTCTTAGGCCCGCAGCTTTTGTTGATGTCCTTTCAGCTTCAGAAAGGAAGAGCTGGATCCCGGGTAGAGCTACGAAGGTGGGGCAGGCAGAGAGGACGAGGGGTGGCCTAGGAAGGAAAGACTGGGAGTTAGTTCATCCTGAGCTCAGCACTGCAGAACAGAGTGCTGGGCGGCCCGGCCCAGTCAGCAGGGCTGGCAAATACCTGGCAGCTCTTTGTCCTGTGCTCCTGCCAGGGACAGTTAGGGTTTGAGAGGACTGGGGTTCTCAGGGAGTCCATTGACTTAAGACTTAGCTGGTGATGGTAATGATTAACCCTGGGTCGGATGCAGCTTCCTCTTTTCATCTGAACCAGTGCCGTTACCCTTACATAAGTGCTCATGAGGTTACTATTTCCGGTGAGACAGTTTAATGTGAGAAGATCGCATTTGAATGGATAGTATGGTGAGTTCTTGGGTCTGTTGTTAGAGAACAGTTCTTGGATTCTTGGGCAAACAATGTATCATTTCTGATTGGAAGTTGAGGGAGGATGGGGCCTTAGGTTTTGGCAGCATTAGTAACTTTGTTTCTGCATTTAGAGATGTTGCCTGGCCAGGCCTTTCTGAGCAAGGTGCACTGGGTGCTGGGTTATCAGTGACTGAAAGGTTTGTTTCCCATGGTGATGAGAAGATCTCTTCCTTGAATTAGGCAGTGGCCTCCTGTGAGTCGGACCTACCCAGGCACCCCACAGTTACACTTACTCTAAACAAGGCTGAGCATCCTTCCCGTGCCCCTACCAAAGAGCCTGGAAGCTGAATTTTGTTCCCTCTCTCTGTTGCCTTTTAATGCTCCCTCTATCTCTTAACTGCTTGTTTTTCCTGCTTGTGAAAGTGAGGTGTGTGCTTTTAGAGAGTTCAGCTGGCAGCAGGGATTGTTGATTTTGCTTGTAGGTTCTGGGGACTGTTGGTTGTGTGGGTGATAAGGCTGGCTTTGGGTTTTGTTGTTGTTGTTGTTCGTTTGGGGGTTTGTTTTTGTTTTTCTTTACAGAATTCAGAGACAGTGATATAAGGGATGTGGTTTTATTTATTTATTTATTTAGGTACCGGAGATCAAACTCAGGTCCTTGTGCTTGCGCAGCAGGGGATGAAACCACTGAGCTAAATCCCCAGCCCACAAGGGATGTGGTTTTAGGCAAAATATGCTCAATAGTATTGGATGTGGATCTATTTTAACCTTCTCTTTTTGCCAGGTTTTACAGACCTTGGGCACAGAAACTTACCGGCCCAGCTCTGCCTCGCAGTGTGTGGCTGGCATCGCTTGTGCAGAGATCCCAGTAAACCAGTGGCCAGAGCTCATTCCTCAGCTGGTCGCCAATGTCACAAACCCCAACAGCACAGAGCACATGAAAGAGTCAACATTGGAAGCTATCGGTTACATTTGCCAAGATATAGTAAGTACCTGCAGTGTGTATCTGATTGTATGCTCTGATTCTGATAGTGACATGAACATTAGTATTAGGATAACTATGATATCATGAAGAAAACCAAGTTTTTTAATTTCTGGGGGAACAAACCCAAGGCCTTGCATCCCAGGCAAGCACTTTACCACTGAGATGTACCCACAGCCCCAGGAGACAACCCCACCCCCAGCACTGGGATCAGACTCAGGACCTTGTGCTTGCAATGCAGGCACAGTGCCACTGAGCTTAATTGCTGGCTCAGAAGATTTTGAAGTGAGGATGTGCTCGTTTGGAATGTCCTGACCCCATCCTCTTTTTTCAGGGTTCCTAATCTTCCCTGATGCTGTGAGCTTTTTTCATTTTACTACATTAAGATGGGTTTGCCAACTCTTCCTGCATTGGTTTTGCATGCAGTGCCCCGCCCCCGGCTGTTCTGATAGAGGTCCCCACTCTCGAATCCTGTCTCAGTGGGCTTCACAAAGTGTGGGAAACCACAGTGCTTGACCCATTCAGACCTAGACGTCTCTAGGTCTAGCACTGTATTTAGGTGTTGATCGTTGGCCCTGGGCTCTTCGGAAGCGTTATTTGGTACAGCTGGCCTGGGAAAAACACCAGACTGCCATCTCACTTTGCAAAGAAGGTGCCCTGAGTCCGTATACTGGGAGCCCGGAGATGGAGTTGATGATAAGTGTGTTGCAGTTGGGCTGCCAGTCCTGTGGGAGCTTGGGAGGTACTTGGCCCTGCTGTCCCCAAGTGGAGAGTGGGAAAAGATCACAGGGTCATGACAGTCACTGTGGATTTTGCAGTTGAAGTTCTGCTGATGGGTCGTGAGCTGGGTGTCATGTTCACTGCACTTCTCTGGTTGTTTCAGGACCCAGAGCAGCTACAGGATAAATCCAATGAGATTCTGACTGCCATAATCCAGGGGATGAGGAAAGAAGAGCCGAGCAATAATGTGAAGCTAGCTGCTACAAATGCACTCCTGAACTCGCTGGAGTTCACCAAAGCCAACTTTGACAAAGAGGTCGGTTTCTTCCACTAGATGGTCCCAGTTCAGAGGATGAGCCATTGATAGTTCAGTGAAGGCCGTGTTGAAAGTTGTGTAGAATCATCTCTCTCCATTCTGGTTGAGTTTTATGTGGGGAGACATGGAGTGAAGTGGGTGTTTGCCATTCTCATCAGAGAGGCACATAAAATGTTTTGCCTAAAAATATTTGCCCCCATCCTTTTTTGCTCTTCCTCCCCTTTTGTGACAGGGTGTCTCCATAAGTCATTAAGTTGCCCAGGTCGAGGTTGGACTTGGAATCCTGTGTCAGCCTCCCAGAGCACTGGGACAAGTATGTGCTGCCATGTCTGGCTCATTTACTTACTTAGATGAAGTGTGGTAAAATATATGTAATGTAAAATTTTCCATCTCAGCCAGAGGCACTGGTGCACACCTGTAATCGCAGCTACTCAGGAGGCTGAGGCAGGAGTTTCTTAAGTTCCTGGAGAACTTGGCACGGCCCTGTCTCAAGATAAAAAGGGGATGTTGGCTTCATCTTACATCACCTCTGAGGTCCATCCCCAGTACCACCAACAAAACGAAGACAAAAACAAACCATGTTGAGGCGTATGGTGAAGTGTGGATTCACGCTATGGGACCAATCTAAAGAGCTTTGAACAGCACCCCAGTTTTCCCTTCCCTGGCTGCTGAGAAGCACTGTTGTACTCTCTTCCTGTGAATTTGACTGCCTCAGATATCATGTGTAAATGGAGTCTGACAGAATTTTTGTGACTGCATATTTCATTAGCATCCTCAAGGTTGGCCCAGATGGCAGGATGTGCCAGAATTTGTTTTTGAGGCCAAGTAGCTTTTCCTTGTGTGTATACCATGTTTGTGCATCATGTCATCTGCGCTGCTCCCACATTGTGGCTATTGGGAATAAGGCCATTGGGAACATGAGTGTTCAATTACCTCTTCAGGGCCTGATGTCACTTCCTGTGGAAGTACTGTGTCCCCGGAAGTGAAGGGGCTGGATCTTTGTATTTCTGTTTGTTGGCACGTTGGCTGGGCTTTTCAGCATTTCTTGGCTTTTAATAGGTCTAAGAAGGCAGAGCAAAGTGCACCTCTACTTGATTTGAAACAAGTGTTTCCTTTTGAACTTTAGAAGATTTGAGAGAGCAACAAATGAAGTTCATTACTGAACACATTTGATACAGATTTTCCATCTTCCAAGACAAATTTGGTCTCTGAAATAAAGCACATGTTTTGAATTCTCTTAAATTTTATTTATTTTTCTTTTTTTTGGTACCAAGGATTGAACGCGGGCCCTTGAGCTTTTGCAGCAGGCACCAAAACCACTGAGCTAAATCCCTGGCCCTGAATTCTCTTAATCTTAACAAGTGCAAGCCAGTTGCTTTTCCTGCATGTAGGTTTTTGTTTTTCTTCTAACTATTTTTACCTAACCTTTGTGACCTACATTCTCCTGTCGGCTTCCCCCAAAGTCCTGTTAGTGAAGGTCATGTTGAGGATGAAAGGATGAGGGGCCTCCTTCTAGGGCTGGTTCTGTATGCCAACACTGAAGGGAACTCCTTGTGCCCCTCCCCCACTCCAGGAAGAGTCACTGGGTCCATAGGGGCCTGAGGAGTGACAGGTTTTCCTGGTAAAGAGAATCTAGAAATCTTCATGTGTGTAGTTCCTGCTTTCCTAATTCTCTTTATCTTTATTCTTCCTGCAGTCCGAAAGGCACTTTATTATGCAGGTGGTCTGTGAAGCCACCCAGTGTCCAGATACAAGGGTAAGTGTGAGATCACTTGAAAAAATGTCTGTCTTACATCTCCCTGGGAAATGCAGGCTATCGTACAAAATTTGAAACGTGGGGTATCAGTGGATTAAAGAAACAGGTTTGACAAATTAAATTTTTCTCCGAAATATTAGAAGAGAGAACAGTACTCTTAGAAGAACAGTGGGAATAAACATCCTCTTAAAAGGTCTTTCAGAAGGCTGAGGCAGGAGGATTACAGACAGGTTCAAGGCCAGCTGGGCTAAAAAGCAAGACCTGTCTCAAAAGTGGGGCGGGGGGAGGCCGGGGACGTAGTTCAGTGATAGAGTTGCTTGCCTCGCATACACCTGGCCATGGCTCGATTCCCAGTACTGCAATAAAGGGGGTGGTTTACAGAAGACACGGCTTGATCAGCTTTGCTATTTTATTTATTGCCGTAGGTCATTCAGGTGATTATTTTCAACTGTAGTCATTGAAGCAGTTTTGCTATTGCTGTAACCCAAACTCTTAGTCCTTGAAACTGGCAAAGGTAACATCTTCAGTGTGGATGACATTAATGAGTTTAGTTTGCTTTGGGTTCCCAAGGCATCTTTGAAGGAAAAAGAACAGTGGAGTGTAGGAAAGGATAATGAAAACTGTAGGGTGAGATTGATTAGGGGAAAAATAACATGAACTGTGCCTACCGTTAGATGTTGGCACATTGAAGTCTGCCTTCACAAACTGCTGCTGTTTGAGTAAGCTGTTGACTCTCTTCTGAAAGGTACGAGTGGCTGCTTTACAGAATCTGGTCAAGATAATGTCCTTGTATTATCAGTACATGGAGACCTACATGGGTCCTGCTCTTTTTGCAGTGAGTATTTTATGTGATTTATGCTGGCAGCTAATTGAAAGACTTGTCATTCTTACTTGCTGTTTATAATCCTGTACTTTTTTATTTAATATTATGAAATACCCTTGAGTCTGAGTATTACGTGGTATACCAAAAAAAAAAATTGGCTATGTTTCTGATGCTTTTTATTTCAGAACTAGCTTTTACAAATTGTGTTTTTGAAACCTGAATGGAATTTCAGGTTAAAGAAAGGGTCTAATGTGAATCAGTACTTATCTGGGGCCTGGGGTGTTGTATTTTCTCTCCTAAGATCACAATTGAAGCAATGAAAAGCGACATAGATGAGGTGGCCCTGCAAGGGATAGAATTCTGGTCCAATGTCTGTGATGAGGAAATGGATTTGGCCATCGAGGCTTCCGAGGTGAGGCAGGCAGAGGGTCGCTGCGGTGAGCTGTCCTTTCTCCCGGCCATGGGGGCAGCTTATTTGTGGGGGCTGAGGGGCCTCCATTGGTAGAGATTCTGGTTTTCCGGCTAGGGAAGCCCTCACAATGGAGACAGATTGATAATGAGGCAGCTTGTGTTCTTGCTGGTTTAGGCATAATTTATCATATGTGCTAATGATTGGTACTGTGGACACCAGGGGGCAGCAGGCAGGCAGTGTATCCAGGGAACACCTGATGCTGAATTACTTGCTTACTAAAGTCCTATAGTCCAGGCTGAATGTGGTGGCACAGGCCATTGGAGGCTGAGGCAGGAGGATCACCATGACTTTGAGGCCAGCCTGGCCTGCGTAGTGAGAGTTGAAGGCCAGCCTGACCTACACAGCAACTCTGTCTTTAAAAAAAATAAAAAAGGGCTGGGGATTTAGCTCAGTGGTTCCGACGCCTGCCTCGCAAGCACAAGGTCCTGAGTTCGATCCCCGGTCCAAAAAAAAAAAGAACAGGGCCAGGGATTTAGCTTAGTGGTTTTGTCGCCTGCTATGCAAGCACAAGGACCCAAGTTCAATCCCCAGTACCAAAAAAAAAAAAAAGAGAGAGAACAAAAAGACCAAAGTCCTAATGCAAGCTTAAGTTGTATGATAGTTTATTGGCTCTGGTGAAGGAGTCTCATATGGGGGACAGAGTTATTCTATACTTGAAATTAAACTTTATTTGCAACCTTGTCTGTCTCTGTGTACTTCCAAAAATACAGCTTTATTTTTGGCACCCTTATGCAAACTTCGTACATCTCTTTTTGGGGGCGGGGGTACCAGGGATCGAACTTGGGTCCTTGCGCTTGTGAGGCAAGCGGCGGAACCACTGAGCTAAATCCCTGGCCCATAAGTGTACCTGGAATTGTTTCTTTTGGGGGGGGGGGACTGGGGATCAAACTTGGGACCTTGCACTTGCGAGGCCGGTGCCGGAACCACTGAGCTAAATCCCCGGCCCACGTCTCTTGATTTCAAAGAACACTAGACGTCAGGTTGTTACAATGCATTGAGCTGGTGAAAAAAAATATAATTCTTTTTTTCTTTTTTTTTTAAATAATAATTCTTAAGGGTTGCTTGGTCTTTTAACAAAGATTACGTTTATGACCTAAAAGAATTTTATTGAAGGAGACCTAAAAGTCAGCACCTTCAGCTGGGCATGGTGCCGTACACCTGTAATTCCACCTTCTTTAGTGGCCAAGCCAGGAGGATTGCAGGTTCAAAGCCAGCCTCAGCAACTCAGACAGACTCTGCATGTAGCTCAGTGGCTGAGCACTTGCTTAATATGCTCAAGTCCCTGGGCTCAACCTCCAATACCTGGGAGGGGAAGAAGAGCACAGCGAACATAAGCCTTTGTCCCTGTATCAGTGACAGACCCCGGGGCAGCTCTGACTGTAGGCCCTTGGTTTGCTTTTGGCTAACATTTGCTTTACCTTTCTCCTCAGGCATCAGAACAAGGACGGCCCCCCGAGCACACCAGCAAGTTTTATGCCAAGGGAGCACTACAGTACCTGGTCCCCATCCTCACACAGACACTAACTAAGCAGGTGAGGCTCCTCCCAGCCCCCGGGTAGGGCTTGAAGCCTCTGAGTGGGTTGGTTTGCTGTGGACCGGTTTCCATGGAGGAGCTTGGCAGCCCGTCAGCTGTCTGGTGCTCTGTGGTAGATGACTCAGGAGCAACGGAGCTGGGCCTGCAAGATCCCCCAGGCTCTGAGTTGTCTGTGGAGAACAGGGTCTCAGAATCTCAAGAGAGTTGATTAGAAACAGAGCCACTCCCTGCTCTGGTTTCCTGAAGGTCACCACTGATAGAAGAGATGTGTTCTGTGAAACTGCAGTAAGGAAAAGGCTGGGGAGAGATATCTGGGATATCTTTGTGAATTCATGGGATGCCTCTATTGTTTTAAACGCTGATGAGGTTGGATGCAAGTTACTTAGATCTAGTGGTGGACTCCAACCTGTGAAAAGGAGCTTCTAGTGATCCTTCAAGTTCCTTAAGATGTGGAACAGAATAAAACTAGGGCTTCATGCAGCTGTGAGTCTGAAGAAGGAGGTATCTCCTGCCTGCTGTTCTCCTGCCTTTATGCATCACGGTTTTTCTTGGCAGTGTTTGGAGAGACTTCCCGCCACTCACCTTTTCTGGTACATGTGAAATAATACCAAAGGTCTGGCAGTGCCTGGGAGAACGGGTGGTAACTTGGGGTGCTAGAAAATTTCTTCGTACACAGAAGTATAACTGCTTCCAGGGAGGTTCAGTAGAGTAGTCTCAGATCAGAGATTGGTTTGGTGTGAAATGGACCGAGTGGTCCTTGAATTTTCTTTTTCTTTTTTTCATTAGGCATTTTTCTGCCTTGAATTTTCATCTTTCAGTTTTACAGTGGCTACTTTTCATCTTTTGGAGTTTTCGCTTTTGAATGTTTTATTGTGCTTTTCTTACTTGAAAACAAACCATTTTTTCTGTGTGTAACTTTGAGCTGAGGCGGGCGTGGTGTGCTTGGCAAAACCCCAGCACTGAGGAAGGCGCAAGTTCAGCCCCACACCTGGGCCCTAATTTAAGAGGACAATCTGAGCAGGATGTGTTCCATGGACTTTTTCTTTTTGCTGGTACTGGGGACTGAAACCAGGCCCTTGTACTCTACCACTGAAGTGCATCCCAGTCCTTTTTATTTTGAAACAGTCTCACCCAGTTGCTCAGGCTGGCCTCTCAGGTAGCTGGGATTCCAGGCATTCATCACCACACTCACTGCTTTTTTTGTTTGTTTTGTTTTGGGGGTTTTTGCTGTACCAGGGAACAAACTCAAGACTTCGCATTTGCCAGGCAGGCGCAGTGCCACTGAGCTACATCCGGGCCCTAAATGAATTCTTGTCTTCAGTTTTGTTTTGTTTTGTTTTGTTTTGTTTTGTTTTGTTTTTGATATCAGGGATCAAACTCATGACCTCGCGCTTCTTAGGGAGGCACAGTGCCACTGAGCTAAATCCCCAGTCCTGTTGAGGTTTTTTGAGACAGGATCTTGCTATGCATTTCAGGCTGGCCTCAGACTCACTGAGTAGCCCAAGCTGTTCTGGAACTCCTAGTGATCCTCCTGCCTCACCCTCCCAAGTGCTGAGACTACAGGTCTGTGCCACCATGCCCGGCCTCCCTTTTAGTTTTTAAATTTTATTTTTTATTTTCAGCACTACTGGGGTTGAACCCCAGGGACTCACATGGCAGACAGGAATTGTACCACTGAGCCACATCTCCAGAACTCTTTTGCTTTTGTTTTTCCTTTGTTTTTTGAGACAGAGTGTGGCCCTAAGATACTCAGGCTGGGTTTGAATTTGCCATTGGTATCCTGCCTCAGCCTCCTGAGTACTGAGATTACAAGTGTGCACTACTACACCCAGCCCTACTCCCCTCTTTTTTTTTTGAAGCAGTCTCACTATGTAGCCAAGGCTGGCCTCAAACTCGCAGTGATCCTTCTGCCTCAGCCTCTCGGGTGCTGGGATTACGGGAATGTGCCGCCATACCCGGCTCCCAACTCCACATTTTTTATTTCATTCTTCCCGTTCGATGAAGTTTGCTCACTGTTGCCGTATATGGTACCAAGGAGAATCTTCCTCTCTGAGTCTCAAGTTAACAAGGGCTGTGAGGTGCTGAGTCTTTGTGAAAGAGTAAAAAAATAAGGGTGTTTTTTGGTTTGGTTTTGTTTTTGCCCCATTTCATAGCGCTTGAATTCTACAGCTGCTTGGACATAGGGGACATTTCAGTGAAAACAGTGATTTTGGTACTAGGGATTGAACTCGGGTCCTTGCGCTTGCGCAGCAGGCGGCGAAACCACTGAGCTAAATCCCCGGCCCGAAAACAGTGATTTTGTTGTTGGGTTTTTGAGACAGGGTTTCTCTCTGTAGTTCAGGCTATCCTTGAACTCAATACATAGCCCAGGCTGGTCTCGAACTTGCAGCTGATCCCCTGCCTCAGCCTCCCCCAGCCCAGCCGTGCGCCAATGCCTGGCAAAAAGCAAAAATAGTGATTTGAACAACAGCTTACCCAGTCACATGCTGTCTCACAGGATGAAAATGACGACGACGATGACTGGAACCCCTGCAAGGCAGCCGGGGTGTGCCTCATGCTCCTGTCCACCTGCTGTGAGGACGACATCGTGCCGCACGTTCTCCCCTTCATCAAGGAGCACATCAAGAACCCGGACTGGCGGTACCGGGATGCCGCGGTGATGGCTTTCGGCAGCATCTTGGAAGGCCCGGAGCCCAGTCAGCTCAAACCACTGGTTATACAGGTGCAGTTGGGCGGGGTTGCAGACTGGAGCATTGGCTATTCCACCTGGTTTTTGTTTTGTTTTGGTGGGGTTTTTTGTTGGTTTGTTTGGGGTTTTTTTGGTACCAGGGATCAAACTCTGATTCCTTGTGTTGGCACAGCAGGCAGCGAAACCACTGAGCTAAATCCCTGGCCCGGCTCTTCCAACCTTTTGCTTGAGTATGCTGGGGTTTTTTGTTTTTTTGTTTTTAGGGTATGATAAATTTATTGGGAGAAAGAAAACTTCTGCCTAAGAGAGGCAGAAGGGGGACCTGAAAGTTGGTTGCCTGCCTACCCCACTTTTCAAAGATGTTTTATACAGCAAAGCCATGTGGTGAGGTGGGTACAAAGTGGGGCAAAACTATAAGACCCAATGGAAATTTACAAGGTGGGCATGAGGCGGGGCAAAACCATGACCAACCAATGAGATCACAGGTACATTCACCCAGGTAATATTGATTAAGTGGGGATCAAATGGGGGAGCAAGTCACGTAGCAAGTGTACAAGGATTTTCAGTAAGGTTGGGTCAAGGATATTTCCTGAAACGGCTGGTTAAGACCTTGCCCCCCCCCAGGTGATTGATACCTGTTTAGAATATCAGTCACTGTTATTCATCCTACATGGGTGTGCTAATTTCTCTCCTTTTACAATGCTGGCCTTCAGTGAATGGGTCCTCATTGGTCTCCATGTCGGCTGGCCCTGGCTAACTCCCTACAAGATATCTAATTAACTTACCTATCTGCAACATTCCCCCCTCTGAAGAAGGACCCCTAACTGCTGTGAGGGGGCAAAGGCAAAGACCAATCTGGCTACTTCTGGCTGAAGAGGGTTGTAGTTGTGATCAGCAGTTAGTTACTCTACAGAGGGTCTATCTAAAGCCCTTCAGTGGGCACAAGGCATTGTCATCTTGGGTAGGCTTATACCTTGGAATCTGGAGGAGACAAAACCAAAGAAGCAGTTAAGTATACACAGGCTGGGCCAGGGATTTAGCTCAGTGGTTTCGCCACCTGCTACGCAAGTGCAAAGACCTGAGTTTGATCCCCGGTACCAAAAAAAAAAAAAAATACATGGGCCAAGGGCCAGGAATTTAGGTCAGTGGTTCCGCCACCTGCCTCACAAGGGCAAGGTTCTGAGTTCGATCTCCAGTACACCCCCCAAAAAAAATACATGGGCCAAATTATAAGGTCAGCAGGACTGCTATGAATATAGCCAGCATGGGTTTTCATTCAGAGGAACTAGTAACAGCCCCCTACAGAGGATAAGAGGCCCAGGGCGAGTATGCTGTTATTTTTTAAAAAGTCATTCCTGGGCCGGGGATTTAGCTCAGTGGTTTTGCTGCCTGCTGAGCAAGCACAAGGACCCGAGTTTGATCCCCAGTACCCAAAAAAAACAGTCATTCCAGCAAGTCATGCTGTTGGTAAGGGTAACATTTTTATATCCTTTTTTAATGTACATAATCTTTATTTTCTTACAATATTGGAGATTGAATCTAGGGTCTCATACATGCTAGGTGGTGAGAAGTCTACCACTGAGCTACCCCTTACCCTTTCTTTAAGTCAGGGTCTTGCCAAGTTGCCCAGGCTGGCTTCAAAATTTAAACCTTCTTGCCTCAGTCTCCCAAGTAGCTAGGATGATGATAGGTGTGCACCATCTGACTCACAATTTGATGAGAGGATAATTATTCCATGCTTTGGATGCCATTGACATTGATATAGTCCTGATTGTTTTGCTAACGTAAAGGACATGGGATGCATTATAGTTGTATTTCGTGCATGGAGAACTCAGTTTCACAGTGTAGCAAGATGCCATCATAACTGCATCATGGAGACTGAGGAACTCAGCATAAAGTGCTAGAAATCTATCCCATACGTTTTTTGTTTTTTGGTTACCAGAGATCGAACTCCTCAGGACCTTGTACCTGTGATGCAGGCAGCAGCACCACTCAGCTAAATCCCTGGCCCTAGCCCAGACTTTTAATCCAACTCTCTTGGGATTTGGTGAGGAGAGCGGGGGCTTTCTCACATTGCACTGGTGATTTTGATATTTCAGAAGCATCTTTGAGTTAAAGTCCCATCTTTTGTCAGTGTTTCTCCTTAGTAGCTGGTGTCCACATGAATTTTGTGTTTTGGTTTCTTTCTCCTTTTTTTTTTTGTACCAGGGCTCAAACTCAGGGCCTTGCACTTGTGAGGTAGGCATGGCACCCCTAAACTAAACCCCCAGCCCGACATGAATTTTCATCTTTGTTTCAGGCTATGCCCACCCTAATAGAATTAATGAAAGACCCCAGTGTGGTCGTTCGAGACACAACTGCGTGGACGGTGGGCAGAATTTGTGAGCTGCTCCCTGAAGCCGCCATCAACGACGTCTACTTGGCACCCCTGCTGCAGTGTCTGATCGAAGGCCTCAGTGCCGAGCCCCGAGTGGCTTCCAATGTGTGCTGGGTAAGGGATTATTTTCCCAGTGACATGGGAGTGACTGAGCCCTTGGCAGGAAGGTAGGAGGTGTGGGAGGCGATGGATGTGCTTTCCTGGAAGGCTTTCTGAGTATCATCGTCTTTCTAATTTCTTGGACTGAAATGTGAGGGAGATGCCAAATGTGGGAGCCCGTGGGAGCTGTTGACTCCTCGTGCAGGCTCTTGAGGCACTTAAAGCAGTCATGGTGACCCAGGGAGGAGACTTCTTCCTTGAGTTGCTTAAGGACAAAAAGTTTTGATTAAAGTAAAATCGTTGGCCACAAGAAGTAGCTAAGAAAGGGGGAGGAGGGAAGGGGAAGGTAGGTGGCCTCGCCACTGAGCCGGCGTGGGCCGCATAGAGCTTCTTAGCAGCGATCTGTTTGTAGTCAGTTGGAGAAGAACACTGTTGATTGTACTTAAGGAAAAATGAGGTGACTCCAGCTGGGCTCTCTCGACTAATACTAATCTGCATGCATTTCAGGCTTTCTCCAGTTTGGCTGAAGCTGCTTACGAAGCTGCCGATGTAGCTGACGATCAAGAAGAACCAGCCACCTATTGCTTATCATCTTCGTTTGAACTCATAGTTCAGAAGCTCCTGGAGACCACAGACAGGTAACTGATAACCTGCAGAAGGCATAAAGGCTTCCTCTCTGCCTGCCCAGGATAGCCCAGGCCTTTGCTCTATGGGAATTAAAGAAACTTTATGGAGATTGATTATTTGTTTAAATAAAGGAGAGAGGGCAAAAGCAATGGAGACTATGCCAACCTTTGAATTGTGTGGTTTACAGTTAAAACCGAAGTCTTTCTCTGCTTTCGAGAGTAAGTGATTGGAGGATTCTCTTCAGTGTGCTGTTGATGGATCACAGCCAGTGCTTGACTGTGGTGTAAAGAGGAATGGTGGCACCATTCAGTAAGAGTTGAATTGCCACCCAAATTACTAACTGTCGTTTGTGACACTGGATGAAGGACTTAAGTGTTTAGTTGGTTTATGAAGGGATTATAATTTGGGAACACCCCTGCATCATTCCTGTTTGATGCCTGCATATTACCTCAGGTGAAGCTATGAGCAGAGTGACCCCTCAGGAAGCCATGAGCCTCGGGTGCTTCGTGCTTAGCTAACTCATCCTCGATCTGCTCAGGATTCTGTACAGGCCTCTTTTGGAAGTGTGTGAAGAAAATTGGTCTACCTACCTCATAGTTATGTATTAGCTTTTTGTCCCGGTGGCCAAGGATTTGAATCAGACTTTGAAGAGGAAAGCTATGTCTTGGCTTCCGGTTTCAGGGGTTTCAGTCCATGATTGCTTGGCTCCCTTGCTTTTAGGACTATAGCTGGGCAGAAACAACATGGCAGGAGGGGTGCCAGAGAAAAGCTCACCCCATGGCAGTCAGGAAGCAGGCAGTGAGATGGCCTGAGGGGAAGGGGTTAGGGACCAGATACAGGCCCTGGGGTCTCGGCCCATCTACTCCCTCCTGCCAGGCCCGGCCTCCTGTTTCCGTCATCTCCCGATCACACCAAGACATCATGGATGGATCCACTGAGGCAGGTGTCGGCACCACTGAGCTAAATCCCTGGGAGCTATTTCTGCTGATTAGAGTGGTTCCAAATGACCTGGGATGGATGGATCCACTGAGGAGGTTAAAGCCCTGGCGATCTGGTGGCCTCTCCGACCCCGCCTGTACACTGTTGCATTGGGATCAAGCCCTCTGTGAATGGGTCCTCGTGGAATGTTTGTATTTAACAGCGACCTGGTGACCACTCGAATTGTCCCCATGGGTCCTTTGCCATTTCAACCCTTTTTCCCCCTGTGATTTTACCGTATTCCCCGAGTGACCACTCTGAATTCTAACCAGGTCTGGAGACCATTGTAAACATAGCCATTGGCTCAGAGGACCTTTAAATTTTGGTTCTTAGATATTGTGTTACCAGACTCAAACCAGGTGTGCAACCTTGTTAGTTTCTGATTTGCTGGTTTTGGAGAGGAAAAAAATCTATGTTGCAGCAATGTTTCCATCCTTAGTCCAGGCAGTCGAGGCTTTAAGGTTTCTGCCATATGTTCCTTACAGGCCCGATGGACACCAGAACAACCTGAGGAGTTCTGCGTATGAATCACTAATGGAAATTGTGAAGAACAGTGCCAAGGATTGCTACCCTGCAGTCCAGAAAACGACTTTGGTCATCATGGAGCGACTGCAGCAGGTGCTTCAGATGGAGGTAAGGCTCAAGCTCTGTCTGCTGGGTCGAGAGCATCCTGTGGCGCAGCGCTCCTTTCAAGGCTGTCACTTTCTCCGTGTTAAAGGGTATATTTTCTCAGGAAGTTGTATGTGAGAGACACAGCCTTGAGCGAGCCCCTGCGTTGACTCCTCAGTCCCCGAAAAAAAAACATTGTCTCAAGGTGTGGTGGCGTACACCTGTGATCCCAGCACTTGGGAGGCAGAGGCAGGAGGATTGCCATGGGTTTAAGTCCAGGCTTGGCTATAAGCAACACCTTGTCTTGGAGAAGAAAGAGAAAAAGAGAAACCATTGTCACTTAATGTTTGCATTGCTTATCGCAGCTCACTCGTGCCTGTTTCACTACGCATCTTGTGTGTGTGTTTTTACTTCCCTACGTTAGCACTAGGAAAGGTTTCTAATGCTCACGGGAACCCAGCAAAAGTGACGGCTTGGTCAGAACTTGGTGTCTTCTTCTTCCCTAGTCACATATCCAAAGCACTTCGGACAGAATTCAGTTTAACGACCTTCAGTCCCTGCTCTGCGCGACACTCCAGGTAGGATGGTCCCTCCCTCCCGCCTGGGTGCCTGCCGAGCCCGGGGTGTGGATGGTGTTGGTCGAAGAGTTCTTGGAAGTCCTGGTCTGGCTGATCTGGAGAGGGCTTCCCCGCCTCTGTCCCTCGGGCCAGAGCACCCTGTATGCCTTGCGCAGTGTCCAGGAAGGAGATACCTGCTCCGTGCTACATCCTCCAGCTGAACAGCAGCTTTCTGTGTGGGTTTTGTGAGATTGTCCAAGCCTGGATCAGATGCGGTTCCCAGCTGTGGCTCACTTGGTTAAAAATACAGCCTGAGGGGTAGAAAAGGTAGAAAAGGGCCGGGGATTTAGCTCAGGGGTTCCACCACCTGCCTCACAAGCAGAAAGTCACGAGTTCGATCCCCGGTACCAAAAAAACCAAAATACAGCCTGAGTTTCTGCCGTCATCTTTTGGAACCTTTGCTGTCAGAACCTCTAATGTTATGTCATCATAGTGCCTCGTGTTCACAGGGGAGGCTGGGAAAAGGAAAATAAAATGTGGCTCTCAACCCAGAAAGCAGCTGAGGAGCTCTTCCCTTTTCTAGCAGAGAACAAAAGAAAAGCCCTGGAACTTCTTGTGTGAAGCTTAAGTAGGTGTCCGGTTTTTAGTATTGAGTTGATCTAGCTAGGCCAGCTTACCTGTGAACTCCCTTTTTGCCCAGCCTCTGTTTTTAAGAGCATGAGTGTTAGGAGAGCTTCATTTCTCATCAGGAGCTATTCAGTGACAGGAATTAAAGTAAACAGAAGAACAAGGAGGGGGTGGGATGAGTGTGTATGGAATTGGAAGGAGTCAGGCTTCTTCCCTGTTGTTACCAGGACCGTTTCTAACCGGTGTGGTCACAGCTGGAACCCTACTTGCTGGGAGGCCAAAGCAGGAGGATCACAAGTTTGAGGACACCCTGAGCAACATAGAGTTTGTCCAAAACAAAAAGGGCTAGGTAGAGCTCGTGATAAGAGTGCCCTCTTCTTGGGTGCCACACACAAAAGCCACAGGGCCCTGCCTTGGCCATTGCCTGTAAATGGGCCAGAGCATAAGAAGGGTGCTTTTTGAGTGCTGTAGGAGTAAGAATTCCTAAGAGGACCTCCTTTAGTGCTCAGATGATTGAACTGTCACGCCTGTAAGACTAGGGTACAGAGACTGCTCACGGGGATTTGTCCCACAGACATAAATGCTGGGGAGGTGGCTCTGCACCACTCGGGACTGTGCCCTGCTCTGTTGCAGACAGCTTGTACCTCTCCAAGGCCCCACTGATTTAAGAACAGGTGTGGTGTTCAGTTTGGAGGATTTGCACTGAGTAGATGCTGACCCTTTGTTCCTCTCACAGAATGTTCTGCGGAAGGTGCAGCACCAGGACGCTCTGCAGATTTCCGACGTGGTCATGGCCTCCCTCCTGAGGATGTTCCAGAGCACAGCTGGCTCCGGGGGCGTGCAGGAGGATGCACTGATGGCTGTCAGCACGCTGGTGGAAGGTCAGGGGCCCAGGCAGGGCAGAGGGTGCTCAGGGCCAGCACGGTCCCAGCCTCGAGTGTCTGCAGAAGGCGGCTCCTCTCGGGGTCATGAGTGGGCTTCATGGCCATGGAACTTAATCATGCTGATATAACTGCCCGCTGAGCCCTCCTCAAGTAAATGTGGAGCCAGTTTGCAGCTAAGATCATTTGCTTTCCAGGAGAAACTTAGCTAACTTGTGTCCCTGCAAATTCCTTCTTCCCATCCAACTCAACTTATTTTATTGAGGTTTGGCTCCTATCAAGACTAGAGGAGATGGGCCGGGGATTTAGCTCAGTGGTTTCGCCGCCTGCTGCACAAGTGCACCCGAGTTCGATCCCCGGAACCAAAAAAAAAAAATAGAGGGGCCAGGCCAGGGATTTATCTCAGTGGTGCTGCCACCTGCTTTGCAGGTGTAAGGTCCTGAGTTCGATCCCCTGTACAAAACAAAAAAAAGAAAGGAGGCAAGTTTCTAGGTCTCTCCTGCCACCCCTCACTTCCTGGTCTGGTTGTGTTGCGGGACTTGAGTCACCTGACACATCACAGTGCTTGTGTGGGGTAGAATGCAGCACTGAGTGATTTCTAGGAATTAAGTGATTCTCTGACTGTTAAGTGTCTGGCCATGCAGAATTGTGGGGTGGGTGGGGCCGTCTGACTTGGACTCTGAAGGGCCATTCACGGCACATTACAGAGCATTTTAACAGCCTGGAAGGCTTCTCCAGGAGGACTTAGGAGTGTATTGCTGAGGCCATTACCTAAGGACCACTCTCCTGAGGACCAGACCTATTTCTGGCATAAAACTGTGGCCAGCTGGCCTGGCAGCATGTGACCACCTGGAAAGGACAAGGAAGTTAATTCTGGCTCCTGGGGCAGCTGCTTCCCTGCCGGGCCCTGCTGAGCCCTTCTGAGAAGAACTGCCGGGGCCCTGGAGTGAAGCTGAAGACACTGTGCCCAGGTGGATGGGGACAGGAGGCAGTGTCCTAGGCTCCATCAGTTCAGAATTAACCTTGGAGTTCTTTCAGGCCATGCTACTTTGTTTTAGCCAAAATTACATTCCATTCTGTGGAGGGTTGGTATCGCCTGGGCATAGGAATCAGGCCCGTCCAGCAGTTGAAAACTCAGGTCCTGTCCACCTAGCCTGTCCGGAGTGAATGCGCTTGGGGAGGTCTGGGCAGTTACTGTGCTTATGTCTGATACCCTATGTTGCTGTCATTAGCTAATAGTTTGTTTTGTTACAGTGTTGGGCGGTGAATTCCTTAAGTATATGGATGCCTTTAAACCCTTCCTGGGCATCGGATTGAAAAATTATGCTGAGTACCAGGTAGGATGTACTTTTCAAAATAATATATTTGGTTTTCGTGGTGCTGGTAATCACCACTGAGCTGCACCCCAGCCCTCAATGTATTTCTCATTTCTAACTCATCGTCACCTTAGCAAAAACACAGTCCGGTTCCGCTGAGCTCTGTGTTTGTTCTTGGCGCTCTCTGTTGTCGGTGTATCTGAACCTGGAGTCTGAAATGCAGGGTGTGGGCTCCACCAGGAGAAGGGACCCAAGGTGACAGCCCCAGCAGCTCCACAGAGTTTTGCCATCTGTACCCTAAAGAGCAAAGCCCTCTTTAAACCCCGCTCCTGCCCCATCGTCCCTGCCGAATAAACACTGTGCTGCCTCAGTGATGTTTCCAGTCGTCCCAGTTCCCTTCCTGCCCTTTTGGGTGTTAAAATTAACTGATAGCAGCTGTGGGGCAGGTGGTAGAGTGGCCAAGTAAAAGCCACACCTAACCTTGTAGATAGCCTTTTCTGTGTGGAGATGACTGCTCGGGCCCTCACAGGTTTGCCTGGCAGCCGTGGGCTTGGTGGGAGACCTGTGCCGCGCCCTCCAGTCCAACATCTTACCTTTCTGTGACGAGGTGATGCAGCTGCTGCTGGAGAACTTGGGGGTGAGTGTCGCACGCCACTGGTGAGCTTGGCGCTGGGCTCCTGAGAGGACTCAGGGTCCATCGCAGGGAGCTGCAAGTGCACTTTCCAGAATGTTGGCTGTGGGCTTACAAAGAGGAAAATTGTTTATTTTCATGGATTATTCTAAAGTTTGTGACGTCAGTGAAAGGAATGTGTGCTCTACTTGAGAGAAAAAAAAAAGTACAAAGGAAGAGAAAATATTTCATCTCACTGTCCAACAATAGCCATTGATTTTTGTGTACAAAGTTTCTAGAATCTTGGGACCAAATGGATTTTGACATTTATTAATTCAGTGTTTTTATTCTTCCCAGAATGAGAATGTCCACAGGTCTGTGAAGCCACAGATTCTGTCAGTGTTTGGTGATATTGCCCTTGCGATTGGTGGAGAGTTTAAAAAATACCTAGAGGTTGTATTGAACACTCTGCAGCAGGCCTCCCAAGCCCAGGTGGACAAGGTAAGCTTGGTGTTGTGCTGCTCCTGAAGTCCAGCTCTCAGTGGAGAAGGAGGACCTAGGGCAAACAAAGCCCTGCCAGGTGATGGCTGTGACGGAGGTTTGCTGTGTTGTCTCTTCCAGTCAGACTATGACATGGTGGATTATCTCAATGAGCTCAGAGAAGGCTGCTTGGAAGCCTACACCGGCATCGTCCAGGGATTGAAGGGAGACCAGGAGAACGTACACCGTTAGTATACAGCCCAGTCCCCTGTCCCTGGCCATTGTGCATCTGGCCACATGGGGTGTGTCTGACCTTCTTGTCATTGGTGAATTAGCATCTGCTGTTCCAAAGAGGGGAGTGAGTAGTGTGGGTAGACTACAGATTGTCATGTTTCTTCGCTTTGTCCTCCTGCCTCAGCCTACCCAGTGCTAGAATTGCATAGGCATGTGCCACCACACCTGGCTATCTTGCATTTGTTTTTTTTCTTCCTTGAGACAGGGTGTTGCCCTTTAGTTCAGGCTGGCATTGGATCTCAGCCTCCTGAGTGCTGGGATCACAGGGGTGCACTACCACCCTTGGCTTATCTTGAATTTCTGGACCATTACAAAAAACAGGGTCCAGCTAGGCTGTTTAGAAAAACCTGCAGAAGTGCTGATTGCTTTTGTACCAACCATGAGTAGCAGTTGTTGCGCGACCCACCCCCGCAGTGTTGCTGTTACTGTTAGGGAGATATTTGTACCGAACCTCCTGAGCATCAAGGGCTCGGAGAGGGAAGTTCCATGTGTTCCCTTGGTGTACCGTCTGCTTAGAGAAGAGAAATGTTGGTTTCTTCTGTTGGCTGGAGGAATGACGTCCTGCTCTGAGGAAGAGTCACTGGCTGTCCACCCGTCAGGGAGCCTGGTGACAGCTGGAACAGTTGGAGGTTTTGAGAGGAGGTGAGGCCTGCAGTGTGCGACTCGGCCCTCACTGCTCTTCTCTTCCTTTCACAGCGGATGTGATGCTGGTGCAGCCCAGAGTAGAGTTTATTCTGTCTTTCATTGACCACATTGCTGGAGATGAGGATCACACAGACGGTGTCGTAGCCTGTGCCGCTGGCCTCATAGGGTGAGCGAAACCTGCTTCCAGGCCTGAGATAAGCACTGTGAGAGCAGCACAGATGCAGGCACCAACCCCTCTGTGGTGTAGTTTTCTGTTTCTGGTGATAGTGGTTCCGGGGCTCGAACCCAGGGCCTTATGTGTGCTGGGCAAGCGCTCTGTCACTGTGCTGCCTTCCTGGCCCATAGGAGGTGCTTTCTACCGCCCATGGAGTCACATTTGGTGTCCTCATAAATGATGGGTGGTTCCTCCCCAAAGCCTCCAACGCTCTGTCATTTCTCTCTGCCAAATCCTGATGTTGGCCTATAAATTGCATCTGTTTGGTGGCTTTCGAGCATTGCTGAGGCATTTTTAGAAAGACATTGGTCTTCAGCTCAATTATAGATAGATAGTAGTTCTGATGTTTTACTGTGAATTAGCAGTTAACCTTGGGCAAGTCATCCTGCCACATTAGAGCTAATATACTGCTGAGATTTTGCCTAGTCTAGAAAGGGGAAATGCTGGGAAGCCCGTAGCCAGTCCCATGCTGCTCAGCAGGCTCAGATCAGGGTGCTGCTCAGGGTGGGTCACGCTCTCCTGCTCATGTGTGTTGGTTTGCGCAGGGATTTATGTACAGCATTCGGGAAGGATGTACTGAAATTAGTAGAAGCTCGGCCAATGATCCATGAACTGTTAACTGAAGGGCGGAGATCGAAGACGAACAAAGCAAAAACCCTTGCAACATGGGCAACTAAAGAACTGAGGAAACTGAAGAACCAAGCTTGGTAAGCTCTCCGACACCCTCTCTCTGCCTGACTTGGGTGGGGAATGTTTTTTTAGGCCCCTCCAAGAGGGCTGCCTTTGTGTGTTTTGTTTGTACTCTTTCCCATGTAGGGTGCTTTTGAGCCAGCCCTTTATACTAGTGGAAGTCAGACAACCTCAGTCTTTCCTTAGCCAAATATTTGATTCCTTATGGTGATGGAGAACAGAACTTAGAAGGCAAAGGCTGAATTTCCAAAATGTTTTGAGCCCTAGTAAGACCACTGGCAAAGGCATCTTCCCATAATCCTTTGTGCTTCTGCTTCCTTCCTTGTGCCCTCTGGCAAGGAAAATGCAAAGTTGAACTCAGGGCTTTGCATTTGCCGGGCAAATGCTCTAAGCTATGCTCTCAGTAACTCTCCTCGTGCGTGCATGCGTGCGTGCGTGCGCGCGCGTGCATGCTGAAGGTTGAACCCAGGGCCGTCACACAGCTATATCCCCAGCTCTCTGTTTCATTTTTATTTTGAGACAGATTCTTGCTAAGTTACCCATGCTGGGCTCAACCTTCTGGACCTCTTGCCTCAGCCTCCTGGGTGCAGGAGTTCAGGTGTGCACCACCTCACCTGGCCTTTTCTCTTTACTGCAGAGCTCCAAAAGGTCCCTGTCATGGGTGTCTAATCCCTGCTGTGGAACAAGGGTTCCCCCCTTTCTTACCTCCTCTGTTATTATCATGCTATAAAGGTCACCGTCAAGCTGGCTGTTTGAATTTTATGTATTTATTTATTTATTTTGGTACCGGGGATTGAACTCGGGACCTTGCGCTTGCGAGGCAGGTGCCAGAACCACTGAGCTAAATCCCCAGCCCTTCTTTTTTTTTTTTTTGGTACTGGGGATCGAACCCGGGACCTTGCGCTTTTGAGGCAGGCGCCGGAACCACTGAGCTAAATCCCTGGCCTGAATTTTATTTTCTCCCCTAACTTCTGATGTGGGTGCCAGCGAGGGCAGACAGGTAGCCCATGGGAAGAGCGGTTGTCTGATCCCATTCAGTTTTGCAGGAATCAGGTGTTGGAGCTCTGCGGGAATGTGTGCTCTCGGAATTAACCTCTCGTTCCTGTCTGTTTCTAGATCTGTTACCATTGGGACGATAACCTGAGACCCCCACTGGAAATCTCCAATCTTTTGAAAAACCCGGAAGTGAGGAGTGTGCACGGATGCTGAGTGTTTGGGAGTGAGAGAATGAGTGAGTGAGGCTTGAAAACACACCATATTGAAAATCCTGCCACAGCAGCCACCAGCAGCGCTGTTAGTGAGCTAAGTAAGCACTGACTTCTAGGAAACCCCGACGTCAGCCGTCTTGGAGGAGAAGAGTGGAACGGAGCAGAGCGATGGATTTGCTGGCTTGTTAAAGCTGTCTCTTCCCAGGGGAGGCTAGGACTAGCTTTTCTGTCTTGTGGCCAGTGCCGAGCGGAGGACTGGTTTGGGAGAAGAGGAGGGGCTGGGCTCAGCTGTGGTGCTGTGTCGCGAAAGGCAGCCTGGTGAGGAGAGAGACAGGCCTGGGTCGCAAGCCCACCTTCACTGTCCCTTTGCCACGGGGTACTGTCTGTGTCGAGTGCCTGGTGGGAGGAGGAGGGCAAGGGGCTTTACGGTCTGAGAATGAGTGTGAGTGAGTGCGGCGGTATCCACATTCTCAACTTCAAGTCATTGCAGTTTCCTTTTCCCAGAAAACAAGGGTTAGATGTTGCATTTCAAAAACTAACCGAAGTTCTGTCTACTGGTGCAGCACAAGAGATGTTTAAAAAAAAAAAAAAGAGGAAAGACGCTTTTTAGGTTTTGGCTTGGGTTTTTTTTTTTGTTTTTCGTTTTTTTAATTATTCTAGGGAAAACACTGACGAACGGTCAGAGCTCCTACCCTGATCTCCCTCGGGCGCTTTCCTGATGATAATGGTTCAACTGTGAATGTAGAGGGGGGAGGGGGGAGAAAGAGAACCCGGAGTTAGAGACTATAGAAAAGTAAAAATGCAGACTTCAAAGACAAAGAAGCCACAGTCCTAACCAAATTTTAAATGGTCAAAATTGGCAGGACAAAAGCAGAGCTCTCTCCTGTTTTGTATCGTGGCAGTCTGAACGCCCCCAAAAAAATTGTGCCAAAGACTTTAGAAAACAAATATACAATAAAAGCAAATAGACACACACAAAACAGCCAACTTCAGGTAACTATTTTGGATTGCAAATGAGGATAAATTTAATGTTCAAACAATCTGATAAAATAACCATTTGGAAACTGCTTGGCCTTCTGTTCTCTTTTATTGATTGACTACAATGCGGTATTGGTCTATTGCTGCACTTTCAAAACCAACTAACCTTCAACAAAACACAAAGCAAAGCAAGGAATGTGTGTGTCTATGCACGCACTGACTAGAGCTCTTGACAAAATGGCACTTGCAAGGATTCTAGTTTTCCACTGAAGTTGAAGAGTAATAAAACAGTGTCAAACATTCCCCTACTCACACACTTTAGTATTTTTAAGAAGTGTGATGTGCTGTGATGATCATAAATCAGAATATTTTCCCTTTACAAGGGGAACAGGGCACCCTGAGTCTTAGAATCTCAGCAATAAGGAATGTCTGAGCTTTGTCCCCATTGGGCTCTGCAGATACTAGGAGTTTTTTGCTGGCATTTTGAATATGCTGCTTTAAAAAACACCAAGGAAGTTTAAAAATTGCTTCCTGGTAATTGGAGGATTAAAAAACAAAACCTCATGCCCACTTTCATTTCCATTCTAGCTAGAAATATGGGCTTGTGCTTTTCGCCACCCCTTGCTTTGTGTCTTCCCCTCCCCATCCAAGCCTTCCACTCATGAGTGGGATTGGCTTGGTTTTGCTCATCCACACGGCAGCATCTCTAATAGCTCTTGTACAGGGTATCAGATATTGTGCCTTTTGGTGCCAGGTTCAAAGTCAAGTGCCGATCTGTGAACCAGTGTACAAAAAAAAAAAACAAAAATCCAGGTGTTTGAAGGAGAGCCGCTCCATTGTGACCAGGAACACCAGCTCCTAAGCCCTACTGAAGAGGCCTGGTCCTCTAATGATAGACTCGCCATTCCTGAGAGCAGATAGGGTTGGGTCAGGGCTTAGGGAGGGGGCAGGAATGTTGGGGAAAGAAAAATAATCTGATCATTCCTCAGTGCTACCCATTTCTGTCCTGTGTGGGCTGCTTAGCGAGACAGCAGCAGGAGAATAAAGAACACCGAGAACCATATGAAAACAAAACCTCGCGTGTGTTTTGTGGTGTTTTGTTCCAGGGAGCAGTTGATGAGTGCTGTTGTTAATGCTTTCTCCCTGCTGGAGAGGAGATGGGCTGGTTGGATTGTGGTCTTGGTGCCTTGTAGACATCCGCACTGGTTGCGTGTTTAGTCCTCTTTCCTTGCTCCCTCCGGCTGGCGGGTTCGCCGCAGTCCGGGTGTTTGTCCTTAATCTGCGACACCCACGAGGCGACTGGATGCACATCCTGTCTGCAGCTGGGCCCTCTACCCAGTCTCGGCACATTCCTTCAAGAATGTCCCTACCGTCTGCTTGGGAAGATGTCGGTGCAAATGTGAAGATAATGGGCATCGGACTAGACTTTGGTTTGCCACGAGTGGCAGCTGCCTATACAGTTACACTTATTAATTTTGCTCTTCATTCTCCCGGTGCCCCTCAGCCCCTCTCTGTTGAAATGTTGGTATTTTTGCTGTCAGAGGCGACTAATATTGCCCTAAGGACTTGTGGAAAAAGGGAGGGGAATTTGCTCAGTGTAGTGTTTTAACTTTGAAAACCAAGCAGTCTATTTACTCTTGCTATCTAAGAAGCGCGTTGGTCCAACTTTAAGAGAAATCCAAACTCCATCAGCTTTTGGTAGTGTCTTGGTTTTGGAAACACCTTCCATCTGTAATTGGCATTCAGAATGCCTTTGGCATGCCAGTCTGTGATGGCATTAAAGACCTGTTAAAACACTTGAGCCCGACTTTATTAACCAAAACTGATACCACCACCTTTATCTTCTAAATAAAGTCCACTTTATTTTTATTTTCAACCTTTCACTGCTGCTTTTCTTTGTTCCAGATGGTGTTGGCCCCGTGGAGGTGATGTGAGTGGTTGAAAGGAGCCCGGGTGCATGTGTGCTGGGGGAGCAGGGCTTCGTCCTTAAGAGGGGAGAGGGACGGAGAGGTGGCCTTGTGAGTGACAGGGGTGTCTAGTTTGCAGTCCCTCTCCCCTCTTCCCTCTGCTGGCCATTACCATAGCGGCACCTGCAGAGTCCTGGCCCAGCAGAGAAGGGCCGGCCTCAATGCCCTGCCTCAGAGCCTTTGACCTTTCCCATCCGCATCCTGTCAGGATGAGGCTTGTGGTCACATTCTCTCAGGCATTGATAAATTACCCATACATCGTATAATCAAGACAAATTCAAAGGTACTTATATGAGCTAACTATTAATAGAAGTTCTAGTATTTTTGTGCTCAACTTTGGAGATGGCTGGCTTAAGGGAGTAAGTAGCTTATAATTCTCCGTGGAATCCTGGGCGGCGGCAGTGGGCTGGGAACACTCCTCCTGGTGGTGCGCTTCAGGGAAAGTGCTGTCAGTTCAGGCTGCCCCCGAGGAAACTTCTGTTTTCATTTTGCCACCCTCCCGGCGACCCCGCTACTAAATGTGCCCCCCAGCTCCTGAGCCAAGGCTGCTTCAGCTGCAGGGCCGGCTGGCCTGGGTTCACTGACTCAAGTGAGCAAGACACCAAGCTTCATTCCGCCCCGAGTCTCTGGACAGCTGAGGGACCCCAGTGCCATTTTACTGATGAGAAAGGGCCACAAAGATGGAGGCATCAGGCCAAGGTCATGGGGGTCACAGATGCCCACACGCCCACCACAGACACAGGTCCTGGGCCGTGTGCCCAGGATGTGTAGGTGTCCCCAGCACTGTCAAAAAGCACATGTAGACTTGGTGGATGTCACCGGATTTCCCCGTTCCAGAGGCTCCCTGACCTACTGACTGCTGTCTCCACCACCACGTGCCCAGCTCAGAGTGGCACTGGTTTATGTACCACAGGTGCAGACTCCCTGCCTTTTTTTTTTTTTTTTTTGTACCCGGGATTGAACTCTGGTCCTTGCGCTTGCGCAGCAGGAGGTAAAACCACTGAGTTAAATCCCCGGCTCCGTGCCTCTTGAACTCACACGATGTCAGCACAGTTCAGGGAGTTTCTGTGATGCTGTCACTTGGTTGTGGAAGAGCCGAGCAACCAGGAGCTTGGGAATGGCAGGGTGTCAGAAGATGCCAGCTCCCAGCCCTTCCCCTCGTTTGCTGGATGGCTTCTGGCTGGCCTCTTAACCTTGTGTTAATTGGTGGAATGGGAAGAGGATTACTCAGTAATTAGCTGTGATTATATGGTGGCTGTTTTATGTACTTAACTAGATGCCAGGCCTGAATAAGCGTTAACCCGGTGATGGAGCCTGCATTCACCTGGTGCCAGAGGCACATTATCAGTCCCGCTTTGTAGATGAGACACTTGTGGGGTGAGGGGCCTTGCCCAGAGCCGTGCAGGCTGGCACCAGCTGGCCCACAGGCTGTGCCTGTACCGCAGGCTCCATGTGCACCAGTGTTGGCGGTGAGCTTCCAGTTGTGAGTCAGAGGAGCCCTGTACCCATGGCAAAGCCATTTTGTCTTAGCTCTAAGATCTGTCATGAATCTTCAGGCAATGCCACCGCTCTGTTTCAGGGATTGAGCCCAGGACTTCTACAGAGAGCTACATGCCCATCTCCCGTGTTTATTTTGAGACAGGATCTCACTAAGTTGCCTAGGCTGGGCTCGAACTTGCAGTCCTACTTCAGCCTCCCAGGGTGCTGGATTATAGGTGGGTACCACCATGCCTGACTTAGAGAACTCTTCATTAGTGAAGGGTGTGCGTGTGTGCGTGTGTGTGTGTGTGTGTGTGAATTCTCACCTAAAGCCAGCTTCCCTCCTGATTGGAATTTGATCTAAACCATCTTCCTGGGCCTCCTTGCGGGGACCGGGCTGGGGGACGAGTGGTTGCCTTTGCCTGGTGGCCAGAAAAGCCACGGGGCACTGAGGACGCTCAGCTGATCTGTGCCGCACAGGCAGGAGGCCTGTGAGGCCCAGGTTCCCGGCTGAGCTGCCCCTGTGTGAAGGGTCCCCTCTTGACCGGAAGGAAAGTGCACCTCAGCTTGCAGCTGGCCTGAGCTGTGGGTGCGGGGGCAGCCTGTCCCACCCTGAGGGGAGAATTCACCAAGAGCTCAGGAGCATGGCCTCCCGTTTCTGAGCACTGTCCTTCATACTGTTCTAGTCTCTCAAGTTTGACCTGGGCAAATCCGTCAACTTTCCTGATTCTCAGTTTCCTCACCTGTAAAACGGGTCCCAGTGAAAGGTTGATGTCCATGGAGCTCTCAGCATGGGCCTCAGACTGATTAACTGATCTATCAGTGGACAGCTACTCACTGTATGCCAAGACTCAAACACTGCACAGGGGACAGCACTGAACTAAGCCTCCTCCTGTGGAGCTCTTATGCTGATGGATAATACATAAGAGGTCTCCAGTAATTCAATATTACATATATTCCCCCCCTCCCAGTACTGAGGAATGAACCCAGGGCCTTCACACTGAGCTACATCCTCAGCCCTTTTTCTTATTTTTTCTTTTCAGACAGTGTCTCACAAAATCACTAAGTTGCCCAGGCTGGGCTTGAACTTGTGATCCTCAGCCTCTCAGAGTGCTGGGATTACAGTTCTGCCCCGCCTTGTCCGGCTCAGTATAATTTTTTTTTTTAAGTTTTAGTTGGGAGTAAGGATGTAGCTCAGTAGTAGAGCACTTGCCTAGCATGTGTGAGGCCCTGGGTTCAATTGCCAGTGCTGCAAAAAACAAGCAAGTCGGCTGTGGATTTAGCTCAGCGGTTCGGTTCTGGCGCCTGCCTCGAAACCAAAAGGTTTAAATTCAATCCCTGGTACCAAAAACAAAAAAAAACCAAGCAAGTTTTGTCTTGGAGACAGAAATGAACATGGATGTGGAGAAAATGAAGCATATAGAGAGTGGTAAGAAAACACCTATTTCCTACCAAATCCTGCTCACGCACTCAGAAGCTGTGGGGACCTCCATGGGAACTTGGGGTGTTGCTGGAGGAGCAAGGCCCCCACTGTCCTCTCCTCTGCCTGGGGCTCCCGATAGGCCTCGGTGGCCCTGATTCCTAAGGTCTGGAACCGGGCTGGGGTGGGGTGACGGCACTGGCTCGGCTGTCACATGTCTAATCAGTTTTCCTGCCCGCCAGGTTCTGTTTGAGTCATCTGGGTTTTATTTTGATTCACTGATGCCACCTCCTCTCTTCAGACAAGAATGGGACAGGAGCTCCGGGGATTTAGCTCAGTGGTTTCACTGCCTGCTGTGCAAGTGCAAGGACCAGAGTTGGATCCCTGGTCACAAAACAAAAAATAAAAATGGGACAGGAAAGACAGTTTCTCCAGAGCAAGTCATGAGAGTAGGAGAGAGTCTCCCTGAGGGTTTCCATGGCGGAAACTTGTCTCTCCTACTCGCTAATAATGGGCAGGGCCTCCCCTCTTCCAAGCCTGGGGAGGCCAGCCTCCCCTCAACTCTCTCCTGCTTGAGCTCCGTCTCACCTGCCCCAACAGGACCCCTGGTTTCTACCTTCTTCATCTCCACCGAGATGAGCCTGGATAATATCAGGTCTAAGCTGAGTGTGGTGGCACACACCTGCATCAGGCTGAGGTGGGAGGATTGCCACAACTTTGAGGGCAGCCTGAACCACATAGGAAGATCCTGTCACAAATAAATAAATACATACATAAATAAATATTGAGGCCTTGGGAGGAATTCACACCAATGTCCAGGGTTCTCAGAGAGATGAAGCAAGAACCCACAAATCACGTGATTTCATTTCTTTATTCACTCAGTAAAACACTCTTACCCTCTAGGACAATGATGGAGAACCTTTTAGAGCTTTCAATAGTAACACAGCTGACTGCAGCACGAGTGCCATAGGTTTGCCACCACTGCCCTAGGATTTCCTTTAAATGCTCCTCCTCATCAGAAGCCCTTCTCGGATGACTCTGAGACAGATCTTGCTGTCATGACCTCTTGTTCCTTTTTACTCTTTACCACAATTTTATTTATTTATTTATTTGTGCTGTATATTGAACCCAGGGCCTTTACACTGAGCTACATCCCCACTCCTTTTTAATTTTTTTTATTTTGAAACTTAGTGTTTCACTAAGTCACTACTAGGCTCCAATTTTTTCTTTTTTTGGGGGGGTACTGGGGATCGAACTTGGGACCTTGCACTTTTGAGGCAGGCACCAGAACCACTGAGCTAAATCCCCGGCCCAAATGTTGTTTTTTGTGGTTTTTTTTGGTACCTGTGATCAAAATCAGGACCTTGCACTTGTGAGGCAGGTGGCAGCACCACGGAGCTAAATCCCTGGCCTGGACTCCAACTTTTGATCTCCTGCCTCAGCCTCCCAGAGTGCTGGGATTCCAGGTGTGGGCCACCCTCCCCCCACCTTTATCAAAATCTGTAATTGCCTTACTGATTTATCTATCTTGGAATCACTGGTTCATCTATTTTTAGGGCTTCTGTACCAGAATGTAAGCTCCATGTGGGCAAGGGAGACATTGGCATCCTTGGATCTAAGCACAGAGTGGACGGGGCGCTTGGGGACACAGGCCCTGCCCTCAGAACGGTCTGGTGTAAGTGGCAGAATAGAAGCAGGGAGAAGGTTCTGAGGTTCAGCTGGCACTGAGAGGAAGGGCACATTTTGAAGGACCCATGCCAGGCGCAATCACTTTTGGGCTTTCACCACCAGCCACCGAGAGCCCGGGAAGGCCACTGGCAGCACCCTGCCAGGCAACTGACTTGGGCCTGTACTGTGAGGACCTTGGAATGCCGCCTCACCAGATCTCCGTTCTGGCCTGGCCTCCAGTCTGGCCTGATCTCCCACTTCACCATTGAGGGGACCCCTGCCTTGTCCTTAGGGTTCACTGGGTAATGGACGTCCCCTGCATTCTAGAGGCCAGGTGGCTCATCCCGAATGGCTCAGAGGCAGCTCTGGCCATAAAAGGGAGCAGGCCAGCAGGAGCAGCAAGCAGGGGAAGCCAGAGCAGCCAGGCCTTTGGAGAAAGGGTCCGGTCCAGGAGGTGCAACAGACCCCAGCTCCGTGTTTCCCCCACAGCAGGACAGCCAGCATCTACCGGGGCCTCAGCATTCACAAGGGCAAAAGCTCCTTTCCTTTCCTCCTTCCGCTCAAGAGCCAGAATGGCAGCAGCCTCACAGGACAGGCAGAGGACACGCGGAACCCCCTTCCCAGCCTGTGCCCTGTGTGGTACCTCTATGTTCCCCATTACAGCCCACCTGCCCCTGGGCTAGCCCTGCCTCTGAGGGCTTTGCCATCCGGGACCCAGGTGAAGCAACACCCCCAGCCCTTCATTTCTGGCCTGCACTCCAGAATGAGGGTCCTCGTCACTAGTGACCTGCAGGCTAACTCGGAGGTCAAGGGACTTGCCCAAGGTCACATAGTGGCAGCAAAACTTGGGTCTCCTGCCCAGCAGTTTGGAGGTGCTGGGATAATTTCTGTGGAAAGGGTGAAGTGTGCTGCTTGCTCATTTCTCCAGCCTGTGGGAGCTTGTGCGTGGTGTGCGTGGTGTGTGTGTGTGTGTGTGTGTGTGTGTCTTGTCTCCCTAAATGAGCATTTGACCTCTTCACTCTCGCTTTCCAAGTTACAGACCTAACTAATCTCTCCCTCTGCACCCGAGTTCAGTGTACAATCGCAGCAGCGCCCCCTCCTCCGAGTGCAAAACAGGGAGGTCTGCGGAACAAAGATGAAAAATAAAAATGAAAACAAATAAAAATAAAATCATCGCCCCGCTTCCTCCCCGGAGGCACAACCGGGACCGAAGGCGTAGACGTCCCCGTACCCAGCGCCGCCCCCGGCAGCGCCACCGCGCCACACTGGGCCGGCCGGGGAGGCGGGCGGGAGCCGGTGGGCGCCGGGCGCGCTGCCAGGCCGGGCCCGGGCGCACCGCGGGGGCCGCCTCCCCTCGCCACGTGGCGGTGGCAGCGGCGGGGTCCCGGGCGTCTTCCCAGCTGGAACGGCCCGGAGCAGCCGGGAGGAGGAGGCGGAGGA